TATATATATATATATATATTAGGGGTGCAACGATACAGAAAATTCATGATTCGGTTCGGTTCGATACTATAGTCTCACGGTTCGATATTTTTTTTCGATACAAAAGATAAATTTCCATGCCCCTTTTAACTTGTAATTTATTTAAATTAATTATGAACATTTGTTTAACCTCAAAAGTACAGTTTTTAAATTAACTGTTGCTGAAACAGCAAGTTTGTCAGTGGATCTGCGCTCAAAAATGCAGCCTAGGTGGAGTAGTCGAACACAGATCCACTGATCCTTTAACACAGAGCATCTTCAGAAGACAAGTTGATAAAGTAAATTTTAAAAATCTGTATTGTTCGATGCAAGTGTGTACTGAACCTAAAGCACTGTTCGATACGGGTACATGTATTGTTGCACCCCAACACAGAAAGAGTTAATTTGGGAAGTGAAGGCTTAGTAACATGTTTCACTGATAAGAATTTATTTTTGCACAGGATAAAGCATGTTTCAGCCAAAAATGTGTAAAATGGCCTTACGCTCGTGTTCTTCATGGACCTGGATGTTTACAGTATCGATGCATTTCTGAACATCATTCCAAGTGAGAAACTCCTGACCTTTGGTGAGAGTCTCAGCTCGCTCTTCTATGAGCATGTCGGCATATCTGAAGAAAAAGATCAAACAGCTCTTTAATATAAAGTTCATCGAAATGGTTTACTAAAAACATATTGTATAATCCATTAAGCAAGAACAAAAGAATAAAAGCAGGCAAACAAGGTATCAGCTCCAGAGAAGATCACATTTCACAATGTATGACAAAATATGCCTAAACATGTTGACCAGTTACACTCAGCACACACTTGTTCATTTCAACACCATTTCCTTTTCAGCTGTCCATTCCAGCCCTCTGTCCTACATCAACCTTACCTGTTCAGGTTGTCATGGTCTATGTTGGTAAAACCCAGAGGAGAACCCGTTAGCTGCTCGATAACGGCCTGAGGGTCCTTTGTGTCCAGCACCTCATTCAGCACCGCTACAGCTGACAGCATCTCCACAGCTACACTGAGTTCCTCATGACTCAATCCAGTCTAATAAATAAAAAGTAAAACGCATTCAAACGCAATTTATAGTGCTTCTGATTTAAAAAAATTAAAATAAAACGAAATAATTAAAACAACCATGTCTTGGGATGTATATGCTAGTATGGCTAAAATCTGAAGCACAGCATCTCACCCGTGGTCCTTGTAGCTGCAAACTGAAAAGTTCACTCTGGTAAAGACTGGCAGCAGTTTGGTAAACGATTGGCAGCTGTGCCTCAGGCTTGGTCAGCTCCTCTACGGTCTCCACAGCATTTCCAAGACGAATGGCTGTATTGATCCGTGCAACTGCTTCAAGTTCTGTTGAGTAGGTTATTTTTTAGTCTTTTTTTTTTTCAAAAATTCGCTCAAACCAGGGTTTATAATGTTTTTACATACACACTTAATGCTTATTAGAAACAGTACTTAGTAGCAGAAGTTGGCAATATTGGCAAAAATAGTACGGTAATCACGAATAATTGTGATAGTTAGCAAATAATGATTAATAAGACAATTAATAGATGACAATTGCACTTTGCATGTGTTTTACTCTAAATCAGTCACCCTGTTTTCTAAAACTATACTGACAAACCATCAAACTAACTTTTTCATTTTAACAGGTAAGCTGTGAATTGAAACCCAACTTTATCGCCATCTTAACTGGCAGCAGATCTTCAGTAATGCAATATACTACGGGCTCATAGGCACGCTTGATAATAGTGCACTGCACATTAAAAGTATGTCTTCTTGTGACACTAAGTGCACTAATTGCAAAGTGGAAAATATAAATTGTTGACAGTTTTTCTGAAGATTAACTGCAYACAATACAATTTTGCCCAATCCCACCTAGTATTAGAAATTATTTTCTGTATTTATCATGCATGCATATAAGTTCAGTTGGTGCTTACTTCGTTTTTCTGCCTCAGCAAAGTCGTTACAAGAGCTGACAATTCCCTGAATCTCCTCTTTGTCCAACATTGTAGCCTTCCCTCCGTCCTGTGGAGCAGTGAAATACCAATAAGTCCCCATTATCGTTCAGTTTGCTTCAAAAGTGTAATTCACAAAAGGTATTTTACCAGTTTTTTTTTATTTATACACGCTTCTTTTTTTACAATTTTTAGTGTGAGCAACTCAGCAACACATTCCTATTAAAGCAATTTAAAATATGACAAATTATACAGAGTTTAAAATGGGAGCTTAAAATGTGTTTAAATGCTGTATAGTGACTGGTTGGTATAAAATATAAAGTACTGAGCATCTCTGCTTTAAGTTCACTGGACAACTTTGACCCATCACCTTTGTGGGAAATCCTGTGGTGTCTGGAACCAGAACATTTTTAACACATTTGTGTTCTCATGGTGGAAATATAAAGTTTGTGTGGCACAAGCTCAGTTCACAGCCTTCATCATTTTTGGATAAATAAAATTTGGCAGTCATGTCAACATTTTGACTGTTTATCACGTTGCTCAAAGTGCTCCTGGTAAATTTCAATCTGTACCGTAGGTGGGTTAAAACTAATTTGACTCAGTATCTTCATCAAAAGAGGGTCTGATTGATCTACAATGTTTATAATGAGCTGCATGTCCAAAGTAACTTCAACGTGAACATCAACAAAACATTGCACTCTTTGGCTTTAATATTGCAGCTGATTGGTGCGAGTTGCCAACTATGATCCATCTCAGTAGCAATCCACATAAATGAAAATGAGAAAAAAATGAATAAAAACATAGCTATCAGATTCTAAAAAAATATATCCATTTTCTTGGAACTCAAACTATTAAGCAAACCACTTCCATTTCACTATACCTTGGATTTATGTTGACTGCAGTTTGTGAAATGCTCCAGATACCAGTGACAATTTGTCTCTTGGACACCAAACAAGGCCAGAGCTTCAAGTCTGAGTGCAACCAGCAGAGCTGCTTCATCTTGGTTCAACACAGCTTGATTCACTTGTTTTACTGCTGCCAGGGCTGGAGACGAGGAAAACCCAGACAAACATCACTGAATCATACAGAAGTTATACTTCCACTCAGACGAAAACTAAAACAAAGCAAATATAATCCTTTCTATTTATTTATTTATTTGGCTAGCTAAAGAGACTTTTATAAATGTTCTGTAAATATTCTAAGTGAACAGCTGTGCTTTGGGAAATCATGAATGCATCCTTACTGTTGACAAGGTCAATGCTCCTCTGGATTTCCTGTTGCGTCAGTAGCTCCTCATAAACATCCCTTTCTTCTGTAGCAACGGAGGAACGCTAGTAGACAATGACACAAATTATAATTTACATTTATATGACTTTTTTCAGAGAGCACGCACTAGATCAACACAGCTGCAGGGGGGCTGCTGATTTCACACATCACATCTCAATGTGATGAAAATGGACGGCTCCTGTTTGGACAGTATTTGTGAAGAGAATGGGAGGAGAGATGCCAGGCCGTGTGGAGGTCTGAAGTCTGGTAAATACAGCTGACTCTGCAGTGACTGGAATGTGCTGGCAGGGCTTGTGGCATGTGGTTATTCCACTGCAGTAATAAAGAACCCTACTCAAGTTAAGCTGACAAACTTTGCCTTTTAAAATCTAATTTATAAATTACGCAACTGTCCCCAAAATGATTATAGTGCTTTGTCATTTATGGTCAGCGTTATCACTTTAGGCTAAACATAAATGAATAAACATCAGCAATGCCTGGGGAAACCCAGGCATAATAATTATTTTAAAACTACAGGTCCATTACATGAAAAGGCCATGTGATGAGGTCGTTAAATAATACTGCAAAACAAATTATCTGATGTCAATTTTTACACCAATTCCCATCACAGTCTTGATTTAAAATTGCAGTTCTAAACATTTGCGTGAAAGTGTAGAACGTAATGAAAAATGAGGCTTCCTACCCTGCCCGAGGACTGAWCTCGCTTCCGAGTCTTGGCCTGGCTCAGTGTATCCTGGTACTCCTGGGCCAGGGCTTCCTGAGGTTTCTTCAACATTGCATTTGGGTTTTTTAGTGCTGCCATTGTTGCAGAAGCCTGACCTTTCTCTATTGCCTCATTGATGGCAATCACAGCAGCATGCACTACAAGAAGAAGTTTAAACAGGATATTGTTGGACAAAAAGACAAAAAAAAAACATTCTATCAGAATAAATGTATGTAAAACACCAGGACTTACAAGCAGCTTCATCCACTGAGAGTTCATTGGCCAAGATGCCTCCAATTTTACTGAAAGCTGGCATCTGAATACCATACTTCTCCAGTTCACTCCTCATATTACTGATCTCTTCCTCTGCAGGGCAGACATTTATAAATGTCAGAGTAAAATCTTTAACATGACAGCAAAAAGTAAAACATTGTGCATTTAGTAGATATTAGTTTCYTTTTGTAGTTTTATTGTCAAACTTTTTTTAATTTTTTAGTCAAAACTTTTTTGATTTCCCTAAAGTCATGTCTGCCCTTTAGGCTCTCATATAAAATTCAAATGATAAAATACAAGATTTGAATGTGCGCACCAACATGCAAAATGTTTTATCCAACAGTTACAACGCTAATGTTTTGGTCTTAAAGCTGATCCCTWCACCAGGGATAGCCGCAGCAAGTGAACTCGCATAAAGAGTTGTCGATTGTTATACGCCAGACCACCAAGCTCCCACAGGTGTGGAGCAGGGGGCTGCCATTGAGGGCACCCGGGGGAGCAAGTAAAAGTAGTCATATTTTTTACAATTTAACTGCCTGTGAAAATTACTAACCCCTTTCTGTTTTGAGAACAAATTTTAAAAGATGCACAAAAACCTGGATTTCTGATAAAATGGCATCAAATATTTTACAATATTTTGTATTGATGCTTTTTCTGTGCCTTAACATTTTTATTTTGTCATTCCAAACTGTTGAATAAGTCCAGATTGAGAAAAAAATAAAATAAAATTTGCACACCATCTTACGTTTTTGCCTACTTTGAAGAATCAACCTCAACTTTTACCTTAAAATTTCATAGAAATCTTTATAGAGTACACTTACAAATTAATTCCTTCTTTAATTAATGTCATTTGGTAATAATAGCTGGTATTGTCTTGGTGATCCCTATAGTAAGTTTTAAATGTAGATGGTAAATCAATGTCACTATCAAATGCTTTGCACAAGTACAGTATTTTTGTACTGAACACTATTTTATCATATTGCACATTTTTTATTGCATCTTTAATAATCCTTCTTAAATAAAACCTTTTAATCACCATTTTATTTTTGCCAAATATCTCTGCAAACAAAGGGCAGCTCTCCGTTATATTTCTGCCAAGATAAATAAAATTTAATTCCCATCAATAAAAACAAACATTTTTATGAGTATTTAAAAACTTGATTAAAGTTAAAAGCTTGAAAGCTTAGTTTGCATCTTCTTTTCCATTTGAATGGCTGCAGAGAAAATCAGTATGGTTATTATAAATCTCTAAAAGTGACAAGCTGTTTAAACAAATTCTCCTTATCTGCTTGAAAGCACATACACTATAATTTATGTTTTTCAATTAAGTCCCAGAATGTAGAAGATTATCTCTGAATAGAGTCTCATTATTTGCACACAAGGTTGAATCAACATCTGAACAGCAACAAACCCCAGGGCATCATTTGTCCTAATATCAATGATATCTTGTTTGTTTATCTGCTGTTTACTTTTCATGAAACTTATGTGCTTTTGTGAAACAGCATATGTTATCAACAGGTGCTGATTTTCACAACGTTTACCTGTAAAATCCACTTTCCCCAGCAGGTCCTGAATCTGTGGTGCAATACCAAGTTTGTACAAGTACAAGCTGGAAAAAAAAATATAAATGACATAAGTTTCATTAAAAAAAGAATTATGATCTTTATAACTAGAACCTATAAGTAAAAGTGAAACTGAAACAGTTTAGACTTTCTCTCATGCTTGTTATTGCTACTAAAACCTACCCTCCCTTTACACCACATGAGGGTAGTATTAGCTCAGATTACACAGCGGGCTACCTCACCAGTAGACTCAGTCCACCAATGAGCAATGGATTCAACAACCAGGTGACTGGAAACTTCATTAAACTTACATCAACTTGCAAGTACCTGACAGGCATTGATGAATTATAGATATTTCTGGAGGACTGGCATCAGTAAAACTCCAACTAGAGGAGTCGTAGCTTGACGGGTGCTGGCTAGCCTGCCCTTTTGGTCACACAGTGGGAGTAAACACAAGATGCACTCTGTCCTTGGGACACAGGGGGCTTCAATCAACCATTTGAAATTTGCTTACACAGTGAGGAATGTTTTGACACGCAGGCAGATGATTAAGGCTGAGATACTGATAGTAACAGCTGACTCAGGTTAATGAAGGGAGTTAAAAAACAAGCAGCAGGGGTTCCACTTTGGCAAAGTTAGAGCAACAACATCTGATCCGATAATGGATGACCCTACCTTATATTCAACGTTACTCTCCTACATCTTTACAGCAGGACTCACGGTAGATTCTAAACATACGTCATTTCATTTCCTCAGTGACACTTCTTCATTTTAGTTTTTTTTTTAGTTCTTTTTTTTTTGACCAGTCTGTGTGAAGAAGCATCTATTGCTTTTCTTTGCCCCTTCGCTTTGTGGGACTTGCAGGAAGGAAGTGCACGTGTGTGCATAAGCAGGGAAGGAAATCAAATCTCCCAGGACCAGACCAAAACACGACAGCAGAGAAAACAATCCAGGCAGCTCACATAACCACTCCCTAAATCTGCATTTGGATGACTGCATGCGGAAGAGACAAAAGTTTACTCTACAACTCAGTCACAGCTATCTAAATTAAATAACCACAGGCCTCACGTGAAGATCAGTTCAAATATACAACTGTGAAAATGTTCACAAACTGAAAGCAAACGCAGCTATTTATATTTGTAAAAAAGCTATCAATATCGAGTAGCAAAATCTGCAAATAACTGTTTCGTAGCTTGACTAGGTGGGTCCAGGGTTTGCAGTTTTAAAGCAAATTTAACACAAAGTTGGAAGAATAATTCAATTTCTGCATGAATTTTTAAAGAAGCTGATTATAGCTACAAAAACCTACATGTGGGCTGGTGTAAAACCCATTTCCCACAAATCACAAAAGGCCTGTTTCACAAGAAGTACTTTCACTGGTCTACCAGAGCAGAAAAAAAACATGTTTTCACTTTCAGTTTCTATTTCATTTCATGTACCRCCACTGTTTCTGCTTTTGACGTGAAAAAGGAAAAGATTCAGGTTGAAATGGTGTGTGTGTGACCTTGTCAGACATAATCACAAAGTAAAGGGAAAATCATTTTATTTAACCAAAAGGGTAACACAGTGGCAGTAAATATTTACACAAAAAAGTGCAACGTAATKATCTGAATCTGCTCTGGTTCATAAAACTGATTTTTTTTTTTTTAAATCAAATTCAGCCAATGTTGGGGAAGTCACTTTTGAAACGCATTTGGTCAAAATTACAAGATACTCAATTTAAAGGCATCAGAAAACAAAAARGCATGAAGATAGTGATAAATCCATCTTTACATCTGTAATCTCTGCAGTCTTACCTCAGAGCATGTATGCAGTAAACCACCTTTGGCATGTTTTTGCGGTCATACACATCTGTTGTTTCTGGATAGAATATCTGAAAGAAGAAACCATAAAAGTTTTTTTATGTGCTATCTTACTCTTTAATCAGATGCAATAGGAGAACTCTACTCACAACATTTAACTTAAATTTAACMAGCAGAAGTTTGAGATGTTACAAAAAAATGTTAAACATCTAAACAAAGCAACAAAATCCCAGACATAGACAACATTTATACATAATTTTCACAGAGCTGCATAACCTGTGACCACTACTGAACTTAAACCTCTSGTATATATTATGGTATCAAATAGGAAAAACATGTTTTTGATGTTTTTCCTGCTTAAAATTACCTTGGGGAGGCCCACTGACTCCATGGCCCTGAGCCACTGCACTGTGTTGTCAGTATGCCTGAAGTGCAGCCCTTTGCTCTGAAGGTAAACAGAAGTACAGAAACAAATGTTGCCTTATAATTATAAAAAAAACTGTTGAATAAATCAGGCAATGCAGGTAGAAAACATGCTAAACTGATCAAATTCAATTCAATTCAAAATTCAAAAATACTTTATTGATCCCAGAGGGAAATTAGGTGTTGTTGTAACTCATTTAACTAAAAACTTATTGTAGATGCTGATGGCTGTGGGCAGGAAAGATCTTCTGTAGCGGTCTGTATTACAGCGAAGTTGAAGAAGCCTCCGACTGAAGACACTGTCTTTCTATGACAGTCTGATGAAGAGGATGGTCAGGGTTGTCCACAATGTTCTTGATTTTATGTAAAATCCTTCTTTGCACCATCATCTCCAGAGATTCCACAGTCGTCCCCAGAACAGAACCAGCCTTCTTTATCAGGTTGTTKAGCCTTTTTAGGTCCCTGGCTCTGATGSTGCTGCCCCAACAGATGATGGCAGAAGAGATGACGCTCTCAACAACAGACTTGTAGAAGATCTGCAGCATCTTGCTGCAGACATTGAAGGATCTCAGCTTCCTTAAGAAAAACAATAATAGCTACAAATCTTTTATTTACTTTATTCTATCATGTAATAGTCTTACAAAGACTATGTAAAATCTGTCCAAAGTAAACGATATTAATGGTCCAACTAAAACAGTTTTTCTACATTACTGTTTCAGCAGAACAGCTTAATGTAGTGTGGCCAAACACTGGTCTGCAGCAGTTCATGTTTTCCTGTATAAAACTGATTTTAACTGTTAGGAAGTGCCTGAAAAATCAGAAAACTGACGTAATCCAAATGCAGCGGAAGGAGGGTTTACCTTATAACGAGCCTGRTCTCGGTCGTAAATTTTTTTTGCGGACACCAGTTTGGGGGCAAAAAAATTGGCAAGTTTTCCCAGATAAACGCCGTTTCTAAGTCCCTCCTCCAGCTCTGTGGTAGCGGGCAAATCCTCCTCCAAGCAGGCCTCCATCCACCTGGAAACACAAAGTACCAAAGATGAGGAAGGAACTTTAAATAAGTACTTTAAAGGGATCCCTGATAAGTTGTAACATTTGACTTTATACGAAAAACATTTATTTTAACTGTAAAATAAAGACTGTGAAAATACTGTAGGCTGATTAGTTTTGTAAATTTTTTAAAATGTATTTTAACACGGACAGAGCCTTTTTATTTACACACAAAGCATTCTGGGTAAATGATGACATGCATAGGTCCTCAGTGTGAGCGAGCTGTATCCACCCTGAAGGTTAATCTTGGACAATATCTGACGATCTACACTTTTAAATGAAACCAGAGAGCGTTGACAGAGAGGAGAAGGTAGAAATGACTCAGCCTGTAACTGAAAATATGGATGGAGGACAACAGAACTGCTTCATGGAAGAAGAACCTCAGCTTAGCCTGTTAGCCTTTGTGCTAGCACTGATGTTATATTTGCCTTATATGTATTAGCTCAGTGCTAGCACGACAAAGAAGCTAAACGGAGGTCCCCCATCCATATTTTCAGTTACAGGCTGAGTCATTTCTACCTTCTCCTCTCTGTCAACGCTCTCTGGTTTCATTTAAAAGAGTCGATCRTCAGATATTGTCCAAGATTAACCTTCAGGGTGGATATAGCTGCGTCACACTGAGGACCTATCCACGTCATCATTAACCCAGAATGCTTTGTGCGTAAATAAAATGGCCCTGTCCGTGTAATAAAATTTTAAACTTTTAGTTTAAAAAATGATAAAAAATTAACATCCTAGAGTATTTTTACGGTCTTTATTTTACAGTTAAAATATATATTTATTAAATAAAGTCTAATGTTACAAATAATCATGGATCCCTTTAAATAAAAACTGCTTCTTATAAATTTAATAGAAATCCTGAGCAAACATTTAAAAAATGCATAAAAACAAAAGAAGTTGCTGTCAGGATAACAAACTACCAAAAAATGTGCTTGACGCTTATTTCATTTAAGTATGCTCTTTGAGAWAAATCACTGGGAGCACTGAATTCCTCTACTTTTTTCCAACAATGCTGGTTTGTTACTAGTCTATTTACTCTGCTATCTGATMTCTACACATAACAGGGCAAAGATATTTGGTGCATGAATGCTTGCCGGTAGCCAGCATGTTGCTCTCGGGTTTCCCTACACATGCCGTCCTTTCAAATTAAAATGAAACTGAAAATGTTTAATACGAGAACACAAAGCAAACTCATCATAAAACACTAAAAAATCAGCTCAAATCTAGTCAGATTACATGTGGTGTCATTTTAATTCTATAAATAAGAAATCCCCGTTTTACACAGAGCCAAATTATAATTTATTCATTTAACACAAGAGGTTAAACGAGACTTGAAGAGGTCCTTCAGTGTGATGGAAACGGGCACCGTTACAGACAACACCCACATGGAGTCCAGCATGCTTTAGAAAGGAGGCTGCAGACAGTGTTATTTCAGCTTACAGCACTCAAGACAGCATGAAAAACAATGTCAAAAAGGTTTGTGTGAGTTATTACTGTTTCTTATTACACTGAAACGGAATTCTACAGAATAAAAAAGATCAATTGAAGCCCAGCAATTCAACTTACATTGCACTGATACCAGCAGATCCTAACTCCTTTCACTCTTAGCAAACAGCAATAAAACCTTCCCTCGTACACACACACACACACACACACACACACACACACACACACACACACGACACCTTGTTTAGGTTAATTAAGGCTTAGTGCTCAAAGGATCCAGTTTAGCAAAACATGTGTCAGCAGCACATTAAAGCACAGTGAGCGACGTCAAAGTGCTGTGTAGATTAAGCCCCCTGAGGAATGAAGCATTAGCACAGTTACTTATGACAACTGGTGTGATGGATCATTCAGAATACAGAACCAACAATTAGAGAGAAGAACTCAAATCTTTTTGCTTCTTAAATGGTGTTTGGGATGGATGAGTAACATTTATGCAAAGGTTTTCCTGATATGAAATGTCACCCTATATTTGGAATGACTCCAAAACTATCACAAAATTCATAAAAAATAGTCTAGTGCTAATAACGTAAAAACTAAAAGATATTGGTTAATCATATCTTCTACAGAAATAAATAAAACATTAACAGAGATAAATTGCAAATGATAGGTGATTATTTATTTATTTATTTATTTATTTAAGTATAAGAAAATACAGTTTGGGACCATGGGTTACATAGTTCTCCTGTGAAACTTCACTTCCTGTACTTCAAACAAAGGACTTGTCTCCTGAAGCAGGACAAACTTGTTCGTGTGTTTATATCCTTCCAAAAAAAAAAAAAGAAAAGAAAAGAAGTCCTTCCTGTAATTGTCCAACCTGTGACCCACAGCAGTAAACAAAATACAGCTTTTTGGAGAATGGTTAATCCCACATTAAACTGTTATAAGTAAACAGCTCCTCTTCTGCTGTCAGAAGCAGTATTTCTGTGTTTTGGAAGTTTGCGTCATGCAGCTTCGTCATGCTGGTCATGAGCTTGTGTGTACGCCTTGGGGTTTACAGCCTGAGGACCTTGCATCAAGTGGCAATCTTTGCTCACCACATGATGTGCTTTATAAAGAAAAGACCACTCAGATTTCACATTTAAATAAATCAGGACTTTTTTCCCCACAAAGACTAAGCAAAGAACTAACCAGCTGAGACAAATTTAGGACAACATTCACTGAACCAACATGTAAATAAATGTCCAACTTGTTTTTGTTTAAACAGAATGAATAGAGGGCAACAAACCTACATTCTGAGAAAAATGGCCAAATGGTGAAGATGTGGCAAGCCCTTTCAGACCTGATAAAAAATAAGGAGGCAGGAACAACTATTTTACTACTTTAGTCTTGAACTGAAGTGGCAAGAATTGTATTAGATCCTAAAATAAACAAACTATGAGCAAAAATGTCCCAAGATCACAAACAATGGGCACAATTGTGTGTCCCAAGCAAAACATTGAGTGTGAGGTACTTAAAGTGTTCAGCATGGGGAAAAAAACTATGCTAAAACTAAAAGAGTCCAAAGGTTTCCATCAAAGAAAAGGCCCCAAAAGTAAATCAACAGTTGTTTACTTTTCAGTGAAAGTACAAAGTCTCCTTCTCTATGATTGAGCATGTGTGGTCCGTCAGGGAGGAGGGGGTCAATCGAATGACAGCATCTGTTTACAAAAGATGAAGATCTAACCCCTTAAAAGAATAAAGACATTTTTCTGAATAACAAAAATCAAGGCTAATTTATAATATAACATATGACCCACATTTCAGAAGTAAAGTAGCCTGAAATTACAATAATCGACTAGTAGCCGTTTGCCAACACCAGCTGCTCAAGATGCCGTTTATGCCTGGTTCACAGGGCAAGATTTTAAAACTGTCAGATGATTTTCAAAGACTGAGAGACCCCGCACATGAAGATAAAAAAATTCACAGATATAACAGATTTGGTCCAGTGTGTGGTGCACAGCTACACAAGCTGCGTTTCCATTGCAAATGTGCGCAAAACTCTGTCGATATTCTGTTAATGTCAAAAACACAGTTTCGCAACTGCAGTGTTTCCATTAAGTAAGAAATGCTATTAAAGTCAATCGTGAATACGTTTGTTCTTGCGATAAGTCATTACAAACATGGCGGCCATGGATGTAAACACATAGCATATTGCTACCACGACACTAGCGCTCATCATCAGCCATCAGAGGAGACGTCGACATCTTTTATCGAGGTTTTCCAGCGACAAGCCCCTACTTGGGAGTGGCAAAGTATGCTGTGTTTTTGGGATACTGTAAGTGCGTTTACTACTTTATTTTACTACTTTGGTGATTTTACTACCATTTCTACTTCCTGTTATCGTCTTCGTCATCATCTTTTTCACCAGTAGAAACAGCCGGTTGTTGATCACATAACTCCCGTGATGCGAAAAAAGTGTTTTCATTGCAGTATAGCGAAAAACACCAATTTCGATACGGCCAAAAAACCACCTCATCCTAGCGCAAAAACTTTTTTGTCGAAAAATGTAATTTTTTTCGAAACTGACGTGTTTCCATTGAGCAAATTAATTTTCGAAATTCTAATTTGCGCATTTTCATGGTCAATGGAAACGCAGCTACAGTAAAGTGCATCACCACACACGAACATTCAGACGGGAAATCTCGTGAGACATCTCGAGATCAAATGTGAGTTCAGAGTAAATAAACTTTGCAGATGAAGGAGAAGCACTGGCCGTAGCATGTGGATTATTTTAACCAAACAAAAAAAAATAAAGATTCAAAAAGACATCTTCAACGTCCAGCACTTTCTGGTGATCCATGGCAGTTTTTTTGTCTTCTGCATTTAGGATACCCCTCCGTGTTTATGTCACCTTGCTTTCTGATTGGCTGCACGTCACATTCAACACGCTAGGTGCTTGTTTGTCCTCGGGGAACATCAAACACGTTGGAATATCGGCCAAGACTATCCAACATGTTGAATATACCCGGTTTGAGGTCGGTGCGGTCCAGACGTCCTTGTGAGCCGACTACATCACTTAACACACCACACACAGCAGGAACGTCTCCTAAGATTATCTTTATAGCCAWCATGATAATTGGAGCATCCTTAAGATTGTTAGAAGGGCAAAATCAAGTCAAAAACCTGCACAATTCTCTTGCCGTGTGAACCCGGCAGTACTTTCACATCTATTCAAATGCTTTTTCCCACTGTTTAAGAGATATTTCTTCAGTAAGTCACAACCACTTTTTCATACAAAGATATGAAAGCAAGTTATCAAAACCTTAATCACTTCAAGGATGCATTACTGGAACTCTTTGTAATGAAATATCACCCAGACTCTTCAGCTGATAAGACATTCTGCAGATAGACTCCTAAACTGTGAGAAAAGCACGCACACAGTATTAACCCTTGTTAAAATCTCTCTGTTGGCATCCCATAATAGATTATTTTTAAACTGGTTTGAAACTACGTTCATTTCTGAACTACTCTGACTTTACTCTAGCTCCAGGCTTGTTAAATCCTCGGAAGAGCAGCTTTAGTTGTTCTCTCATCGAGGATATTTAGTCAGGAYATTAGTAGTTTCTTTAAACCTGTAAATCTGAATTTCAGTGTCAAATTTATAGATTTTTATAACTAGCCGTTTGTTCTTTTGGGTTTGAACCTGTCCAWTCTGATCTGTAATAAACTCTCTGACAGAATAAATTCAATGTTAATTGTRTATTATATGTAGCTTCCTCTCACAGACCCAAAACATGCATTTTAGGTTAAATGGTAACTTTATGTGTGAGTGAAAGGGTGAATGGTTGTATCTGTGTGGCTCTGTAATGAACTCCTGACATGTTCAGTGTGTACCCCGTTTCTCACACGGTGACTTGGGACGATGGGCACCAGCTCCTTAAGAGAGGTCATTCCTTCTCTTTCAAATTTCCAAAGTTTACAAATCACTGTTTTACAACAGCAGCATAACAGAATTTCTGAAATTCTGTTCTGGCTTTTGGTTTCGGTGTGCCACACCAGGATCATCAGCCACATGGCCACCCCATTAAAAAATAATAAAAATTCTGGAGGCGCCACTGATCCCTTCAGCTACAAGTCAATAAAATTCCCMAGAGAACTGACTGCTCAGCATAGGTTACCATGGCAAAATTACCCTCCCAACTATAAATCCTGTTTTATAGCACAGGCCGCTGACTTCTGAGACCTGAACCTAATCCCCTGCTTGCTGTGGCTTACATGTGTGTTAGAAGTCTATTTTAATCCTAATTTAACTCTACCCATGTCACAGAACACAGGTTCCAGTCCACAATTTACAGAAACGAGGAAAAGTCAGCAGACCTGGCAGGAAATAAGAAGCCAGAGCCTGAAAGTAAAGAATATAAAGTGATTATTCTATATTTCACCAGACTCTTTTCATGAACAGCTTCTGCAAAGCTCAGCCTTCAGCTACAGTTTTATCAGCATTCCATAAAAAAGTGTCATAATCTAKAAGTGATTGTGATGGATGTGTGAATCTGCTCAATTTAGCCCTCGTAAACTCTTAACTATCCTGCGACACAAGCAGATAATGTAGGTCAGCCAGTCCTCACTAAATCAGAGTGCAAGTTCAGCAGACAAACCATCTGTAAGGAAAGGTAAGCAGACAGAAAAAAAACATGAAAATAGGGTTGACTGCACAATTGTTGGAAAAAAATTTAATCCTCAGGGGGGAATGGTGACCAAATGGGTGTGTGACAAAAATCAGAGCATTAGAATATGCATGCGTTCACTTCCTGTTCCTGCCTGTGCAGCAGGATCGTGAAGAAGACAGGAAGTGGTTTAGATCTTGCTCAGGTGCCTCATGAGGGCACATGAGATTTATGACCTTCTTAGAATAACACGGTTGTGGTAATCTGCACTTTCTACGTGATTTCAACTGAAGGCTGAGTGAGGGCCACTCTTTCAGCAGCTCTGAAACTCACTCACTTAATCCCGTGTGTTTTCATTAATGCTTCCAGCTCTGTGACATTCTCAGACAGTGATCCAGCATCCAGYTTCACGCTGCTGTTTGATCACACAGCGTTGTGTTTCTACTGATCTTTACATCCCTTTCACTGCCCTTGTGTTTCTCAACCGCTCCCTGCACCAACACTCATTAAACACACAGTTAAAGATTAAACAAACAAAAGAGTACACCTCGCATATTTTCTACACGCCGAACATGGTGACGAAGGAATAAAATGAAGCGGCTAATTTCCGTTTGCGATTAAGCCCATCTTTTCTTTCTTTCGTACCGTTTGGCCTCCTCCAGGTGACACAGGTACTCGTAGGCGATGTTCTGTCGCCTCCTCTCATCCATCTCCTCCGCCGACAGCCTCTCGTCATCCTCGATGGCTGCACAAAGGAAGCAGACGTAAGCAGTAACATTATTTGAAGCAATTCTGCAGTAGGTCCTGCTTTCTGAAAATCTAAATGGTACATAACTAAAAGTTATAGAGCGATAAACACAGAAGAACTGGTCCCGGACCAGTTCTTCTGTGTTTATCTGTGTCTCTTTCCTGTCCCTCAACCAGCCGGTCGAGGCAGATGGTCTCCTGTCCTGAGCCTGGTTCTGCTGGAGGTTTCTTCCTGATTAGCAGGGAGTTTTTCCTCTCCACMGTTTGCTCAGGATGGGAGACTGTGATGAAGTGATTCAACGCAGCCTACTGGTTTCTTCGTTGGATTATTCTTTTTTATGTACAGTGCCCTGAGACAGTGTATGTTGTGACTTGGCGCTATATAAATAAAATAAACTTGAAACTTGATTGTTTTATTAAACTGGGCTAGGTTATTTGGATTCAACACAGAACACTTCATGTGCAAATAGCTTTTATAGAAATAGGGAGGTGGTACTGGTGCACAACAGAATATTGTGTAATTTAGTCTTTTTGGTTGTTGCACTCAAATAAAAAGAAAATGTTGCAACAACCAAAAAGAGGAAATACTGACATAAACATCTAGTGTGYACGCTTTATTCAGGTGGATTTTCTTCTCAAATATTCATTACGTCCAGAGCACGTAGTTTAAGATTAGAACAGAATCTATTTACATTAGGAGCTGCACTCCATGCTGAAGTGACTTCTGCTGAGAGTTGGCCTTTACCTGTAGCTTAATGAGATCATCCCCCCTCGCCCTCCATRCACCTCCACTCTAATCCAATCAGAACTCTTTATTTCTGGCTGACTGAAGGGACGATCACAAACCCAGAGACTTTTTTTAAACAGAGTTTGTGCCTCTGACAGTAAGGCAGAGTGGACAGGGCTTCAGAGGAAACAACATGGTTTTTAGGCTTCTTAAATAGAACAAAAAATTCCTTTGTGTACTTTTCGTTCATCCGCCCTTCAGCAGAGTCAAACATTCAAATTTGCRTTTAAGTACTCTGCGTGCTTGTTTTGCATTACCCCGTGTCCATATTGGGTTTATTTCAATTCTAAATACGATGTGTCTGAAATAAGTACTGTAGACCTGAGGGGGAAATAAACTCTTGACAATCTGGAGCTCAAGTGGTCAGCCTGAACCAGTCACCTGCAGAAACATCCGTTCTCCAAGTCTCTGCAGAGGCTTGACATTACAATCCTCACATGGAACAAGAGGCAGAGCCAAAACACAGCTGTCCCATCRCTTGGCTGAGATGTTTCACAGCAACATCAGCTTTCTATCTGGCCATCCAAGAGCCCCAGATGTGCTGACAAAGGATGAAGACATAGATGAATGCTCATCTCTGAGGCAGCGGCCCCAGAGCAGTCATCATGAACAACCTCCACAGACTCACTCACTCACTCACTTCCTGGAAGAGCCTGTCTGCACCGCTGAGCTAACTGTTATATTTAACTATCAGGATGGGTTTGTTGCTTTTGTGTGTCACAGGATCACTCAAGTGGAGCTGTACGCTCTCTGTGAGAATAATGACTCACGTTTTTGTTTACCTGCAAGGAGGTTTTTTTTTATATATTTTTTTTTTTATGTGACTTATTTTTGGTTATGGAGGGGGTGTACAACTACAGAACTGGTTTTACATTTTCATTAGTTTCATTCCGGCTAAAATCCAAAACCCACTTTTTTTTTTTTTTTTTTCAAAGAAACCATAACTGCATGTAGAGAAGCAGTGAGTTGATGAATATAAAACTAAAATAAATAAATAATTAAAAGAGCAGGCCTTCTGACAATTGATCCTCAGTGTTACAACACTGCACTTTGTGACTTAAAAAACTTTATCAGTTTGCTCAGTTACATTCTTGACAGTCAGTTTAGGATTTCAGTAAAAAATCCAAAAGGTAATGATTAATCTAAGAGTGAAAAAAACAGTGTGTGTAGACATGAAGGCATGTTAGCTTTCAGTCAAATAAACAGATAAAACCACTCCACCGTGGTGCGTTTAGGGACACCTGTTTGATTGAAGACGAGTTTGTTTTACTTTTAAAAGCCCCGGATTATTTCCAGTGTATTCACTCTGCCTCAGCTCACATCAGAAGTGATATGTAAAGCAGGTTTATTCTGCTGTAAAACATGTTTCCAGGTGCAGGAGAACCACCTGCTGCTCATCTGAAATCAGCGATGGCAGCCAGAGTTCATCCGGWGTCACACACACCGTCACGCAAACCTTAACTTTAACTCGTAAAGACGCCAATTATATACATACACAAGTTACTTACTTCCATAGTGTGGCTTCTGTAACGCTTTGGTTTCTTCATGGTACATCCTGCCTCGTTTCCTCCACTTGTGAAGTCGTGTTAAACKTCAGGCACCGAGCTAACTAACCTTCAAACAGCGGCGAGCCGCGCCTCTCAGGATGTATTATTAATATGAACACTATGATAACTGTTCGAGCGAAGTAAAACAGTTTCCGAAAGTTTCATGAAAGTGCCAGCTGTGAGTTGTCGCAGACATCCCCCATGGTGTGCACTTCGTTTGCACGCGTGACTCCTGACCAAAGTGCCTCTCGTTGGCGTTATCTGCACCTCCACCGCTGACATGAAAATGACTGAGTGACAGAACGGCGACTGTTGACACTTAGCACCACCTGCTGGTCATCACCCGGTACTGCACCCACATGAGTCAGAGCAATTTTTTAAATAAACTTTGTCTAAAGATATTAGCTAGGGAACAAAATAAAATTTTCTTTATTTGTAACACTTCGAAAAGTGAGTACAGTTATGCAATTTTTAAGTGTAATAGAAAGACTATTTTATTTAAAATGTCAAAAAAAATGTTTTTTATGGAAAATAAAAGTCCAGAATATTTTTGCTAGAGAACATAACYTTTATTTTTTACTGCATTTGTTGGAAGAGCAGATCAGTCTGCAGTTTCTGAATGTCTGATGTCATACACGGGGCGCCGCTTGGCAAATGTTTTTTCACAAACTATCACACATTTGCACTTCTGAAAACACAAGTCAGTCATCCCTTTCATTGGCAGGCTCTTCCACGAAAGGTTTTACAACTTCATCATTCACAAACTTTTGACCACAAACGGGAAATGGATTAACAAAACCCACAAGTGTAGTACATTCGCATTTTTTTTCCTCAACCAACATCTTAATATTGCCACTTTCTGCAGGAAAAGTATACAGAAACACAAATGTAATCACAAAATAATTTCAGTTTTCTGACACACATGCAAGTGTATTCGCACACATACACAGAAAACAGCAGCAGGTGAAATCAAAGGACGCAGAAGCRACACGGGACAGATGAAATCACTCAGACAGTTCAGGTGACGTGGAAACAGCTTGTTCACATTTAACCAAAAAGTTTACTTTTATCAGCTTCAATATTTATACAATATTTACATTTATATGTCCATGTGGATACTCGTACACACATACAATACTCTCTGTATGCCTCTTTTGCACAAGCACACACAAAAATACAGTACATGTACATGAAACACCTCAAACATGTCAATCCTCTCTAAAACAGTTAAACTGCCTCAGTGGTTTTTACAAACCCAGACGAAGCAGGTCTCTCCTGTTCGTGCTACAGACAGCAGTCAGCAGTGCTGGGCGACATCAGGTTCAAAATACTAAATCAGAGGATAGAAAAACATCTGCTGAGGAGTAGCACCACATACATCACAGCCTTTTCTTCAAAGCGATTCTACACTTTTTTCAGGAAAAGCTTAAGGTCCGAGGAAATTAATGCAAACATCTAATGCAGTTGTTTTGTTCATTTGTTTTGAGTAGAGTAAATCAGCTGCAGTTTAGGGTTAATAAAATTAAATAAAAGTCATAGACTCCACAAATTCAGAGGAATAATGAAAAATACAGCAAAAACAATGCAGAAAAATGCAGTCTGTTAACACAAATTGAACCAGACTGAGAGATAATGAATCATCACAATTTATTATTAAACCTCTGGACATTTAGCACTGTGAAAAAAGMAACATGATCATTTTATGATTATTATTATAATTTCATTGCTATCATGTGTTTAAAAATAAGAAATAATGTTTTTATAATAAAATAATTTGACTCTTAAAAGTCATATATTTAAGAATAAATTCTGATAAAATCATCAGTTAAAATTATTTTTGGTCTCACAACTACTAATGTAATGCATAAATACCTAGATCGGAGATCACCAAATGGTGGCCCTTGGGCCAAAGGTGGCCCACAGAGGGTGTACATCTGGCCACTGGGCATGGGGAGGAGAAGTAGGGGCGGGTCAATTAAAATTTTATTTAAAGCTCAGAGAATGTGATTTTTTTTTTCTTTCCTGGCAGTGAACAAAAAAATATCTTCTTGTTTTCTACAAATGGCCGAATCCATAGAAAAACCTCAACCACCAATATCCCACCAATCAGAACCAGGAGCAACTACGAGTCACGAATAACAAACATTGTAATTTTTCTGAAAATTGCCTGTGAATTTTACAAGAAAGTTAGCATGTTAAATATGATTAACATGAAAAGGCTCAGTTAAATGTAACGTAACTATAAACCTGTCAATAGGCCTCATATAACAATTTAKACTTTATTTTCTCTTTTCAGCCCTCGTAACAAGTGCTAAAAAAACATCGAGTCTTAAGCAAATTATGTTGGTGACCCTTGACCTAGATATATCAGGATGAAATGGATCAATAAGCAAATRGTATTTTTTTAACATATTAAAACTCACTTGCAAAAATCTTTCAAAATAAAATTTGACAAAATAACGATTTACACAAAATGAATAAATTCACAAGCTATGGGCAACATTTTACACATATAACAAAAAAATCTCATTTRTTATTCTGTATTTGCTATATTAGTATATTATATACCTTTTGTTTCATTTCTTCTTCATGTTTAGTTTGGTGTAACCTTTGGACAGCACATGACTATGGACAGACTGGCTCCAGTCAAGGAGAGGCACATTAAGAAAGGCCATTGAATATGTATATCTATTTATATTTTAATTTTTTTTTTTTTTTAAGGAAGCAGTTTTCTACATAGAGCTGAAGGAGGAGAGCTCATCACAGACAATTTGACACTGAAAGAAGGAAAAATATCTATATTTGGACAAAAACAGCATATTATCGCTCAAAATTTCATTCTGGGGAAATAAGGATCCTCAGATTCAACATCACGCACAGTTATACAAGAAAAAACTTTTTTTTTTCTTTTTTAACAATATGGCCTTTTCAGTTCAAGTTTGGATGGGTAATGCAAAGGGCTTGGTCTCATATGAATGATCTACTTTGAAAGGTTTACAGATGTCYGAGCAAACGTCATGCAGCAAACTACAGCAGGGATGGAAAAACATGAGTGTTTGCACATGTAGATTTACCTAATACTTTAATTTTATTATCTGTTTGTTWCAGTGTGGTGGTGACTTTCTGCATGAATGTAGCCGTGCTCTGTCTGGGGGTCTCGCGGGAAAACCAGCTGTCAGTGAGTCTGCTCTGTCTGATCATGTATTCCCTGCGTTGTCACACAGCAGGTTGGTTGTGCTCATTACAGCTTGTTTTTCCCCGTTTCTCCCCATCTGGCTCATCTTAATAAGACCGTATCAATATTAAAAGCCTCCGCCACGTTGTGTTCCTGTGTAAGGTTATGACTGAAGCTGAAGGGCTGCAACCAGCTAAAAGTATTTGAGGCAAATACCCACGCTGTTTTTCCATGAGGGTGTACTGATGTCTATTGGTGCAAGATATGAAAGAWGCAAGCCTTTTGCACTCCTCACTCTAATCCCTCATGTTGTTGGAATGAAGTCATTTATACCCGCTGGTTATCGGTGATCATCGATTGTGTTACATGAGGACATTGGTCCGGGTGTCAGGCAACCGCAGTCCGACTAAGCCTCCTCCAACGAGCACCGCTGAGGCCATGAGAATAGGGACGGCCTTGGTGATGCCGACGAGAGAGCCGAAAAACAGGTTCCCCATGACTGCAGCCAGCTTACACAAAGCATTGCAGAACCCAAAGCCTGTTCCCCTGGAGAGGTAAACATCAGGACATAAAAAGAGATGAAGAATTGCATTTCACGTGCTTCCTTTTATGTCCTAACTGAATGTCTCTGCTCTTAACAGGACATCTAGCATATTTGCACCTTTTAGACATATTTGATTATCCATTTTGCACATTCCACATTATGGTACACTTGACTTCGTCTTGTTTGGAAATCATATTTCAATAAACCTTTTTAATCCTTGAATCCTTGAATTATGTATGTTGATTATAGCTGCAGCAGCCACCTTGAACTGGATTGACTCCGACAGTTAAACAGTTGTCGGTGACAGGTTTAATTTCAAAGCGGTCCATCAAAATCCATCTAGTGTTTCCTTAGATCAGGGTTGGGCAACCCTGGTCATCAAGGGCCGATATCCTGCATGTTTTACTTGTTTTTCTGCTCCAACACACCTGATGCAGTGATTTAATCACCTCTTCCAAGTTCTGCAGAAGCTTGGTAATCACCCATCATTCAAATCAGGTGTGTTGAAGCAGAGAAACATTTAAAACCTGCAGTATAATGGCTTTCAAGGATTTCCCACCCTTGCATTAGGTATTTTGCTATCATACAGACAAACCAATGCATGCACACAGACATGGGCAGAAACCTTACCAAACTGTATCCACTCACTCTGTGTAGAGGTTGATAAATGTATATTTTTTTATTTTATTACAACTTGCATATGTCAGCAAATACGCCCTTCATGTTCGTCCCCTTACCTCCGGACAGTAGGGAAAGACTCTGTTGTGACCACATCCAGGGAGTTCCAGGCAGAAATGCTCAGGCCGTTGTAAAGGCACAACATGAAAATCATCATGGACTCGCTGGTGCCAAACCACAAGAAGAAACAGCTTATGCCTGATAGAATCATGGAGCCACCTGATGGACRTGCACAAACAAAACCACGGTTATCACTGTATCAGAACAGTTTGTTTTCACAATGAATAAACTTGACTATAAATCCTTTTTTTATTTTCTTTCCTACCCAGCATGGAAAGACGCCCGATTTTGTCCATGAGAAGTGCTGAGACGATGTTGCCAGGGAGAACAGCCAGTGTGCCGAGGAAGTTGATGAAGTAAACCCAGTAGGCGCTGTAGTCGTCATCAAATGTCATCTGGCATCCTGTCTTGTTGTGGGTGAAAGTGCTGTTAATCACCTCAGTGCCTTCGATCAGCTTGGAGTCATCAATGTCTGCAGACAGAATGGACAAAAGAATAAATATGATGTCTGATGATGTGAAAATCTTTTTTTTTTTTTCAGAAAGAGTAATTGAAAACAGATTTATGTCTTGATTAGCATTAAATGAAATTTAGTTTTGGGAACGGTTTGTTGGGGAGAATCTGAACTGTTTTTAATATTATTTAATTCAAATTTCTTACCCGTGTTAAAGAAGAACGAATCAATAAAAGTACAGTTCCTGAAGGAGGAGCCCACTGATGTTACATCGTCAAAGTAACAATTACGAAATGTTGAGTCGACGAATGTGACGGACTTTAGCTTCATGTTGATGAATCTGAGAGAGAGCAATAATGTTATGGTTGTTATGATGTTTGCCTCCATATTTGCACAGCATACTGATACATTACTGTCATATTCAGATGAAAGGACAGTGTGATTTTCGGCTACAGTGTTTAGATCTGTATCTTGTGCACAACTATCTTACTGGTCGTGAACGAAAAGGCCATTTTTGTGAATCTGGTTCTCCAGAGTGAAGTTAAAGGTGAAGCCTTCAATCCGYTCGTTGTTGTGGATTTTCACTTTGGAGGCATATTCATCTGCCTGGAGGTGCTTGATGACATCAGGGAACCAGACGGACAGACCATAATACCTGCAACCACACAATCATAATCAACATGTGACACAACAGTGCGCAGAGAGAGACAAACAGGCACATTGTAAACCAGTAGGCATCAATGGTTCCTCTCTTATTCTCTCCTCCTATCTCTGCACACTTGAATGCAACAGTATTGATCCACAGCCTGGGATTGATCTCAAGACCATGCAGCTTTTATACAGTGTAGAGATCAAGATAACAGAAATGTAATGTGGCTGTGAGCACTACTCCTGGAGCCATTATCTGAGCAAAGACCCTTGTCTGGTTTGTTCATAAAAAATGACATCGGAGGACAAATTCACCCGAATGACAGCGTTAACCACACGATGGCCAGGCGCATCGTGTTTTCTTGCATAGGGTAGCTGAAGCACTTCATAAGGTTCAGATAGATCTAAAAAAAAAAGGAGGGAGAGCTTGTTTATAATAAAAAATTCAAAATAAGGCAACAGAAACAAAATGATGATCATAAACAAGACAAATATTTACCCCGTGTATTTCAGCCTTTATCCTAAAGAAAACCTTTGAAACAGGGTTTCCAGATTCTGACTCCATTTCAACCAGTTCGTCCAGCTGTCTGGGGATTTTAATCCTGTTTACCTGTTAGATTAAAGAATATCTTGTTTGTTTTACAAAACCAGAGTCTAGTGAATTCTTTTGCATTGCTCAAAATTTATGAAGCAAAAATCTAAAAAAGCCATATCAGTGTGTAAGAATGCTATCAGTTTATAAAACATTTCTACTTGTTTGCATTACACCAAATGTTCAGATTGATTTTCTTAACCAAATGTGTGTTTGCTGAGCATAAACTGTGTATATATTAATATAGCATCAATTACAATAAACATTAACAGCAACGGCCAACTGAGGGAGTATGCTGCATAGATTTATTTCAAGAAACATCTCTTTACTAATAGGCTTTTCCAAAATGCAGCTCACGCAGCAAAATAAGTCTGAATGACACAAAACTGCGTTCAGACCCCATCCTACTTCAGACATGATCCTTCATGGTAAAAAAAAAACAGGAAAAAATCAACCTGTCCCAGTGGCGGCAGCATATAAGCCTCTTTGCTTCCTTAAGCTTCGAGAAAACCCTGCCAAGTCTGTGGAACTTCAGGAACAAACACTCACGGTGAAGACTTTCTCCGGCTGCCCACGTGCTCGCATGTTGGTGTCGTGGATCTGTTTGAGGATCATCCAGGCTTCGTCGTGCTTCCCCACCTGAAAGGAAAGCGAGTAAATGGGGTGGGGGGACAGCAAAGAATGAGAGACATTAGTGGGACCGGCCTCGCCACGACAACTTGACATCCGCGACTGTTTTCCATGAAAATGGTCCTTTGATTTCTTCATGATGAGAGTCACGACTGTGGTGACTCATTTTTACTTCAAAGGGTACTTATTCTCCAGCAGCACAACCTACTGCCGTGGATATCCACACGTGTGTGCTTCCAAGCACAAAGAAAGCCCTGTCTCAAAAGTTTTGCATCCCTCACTCTGCTCTCACTTGATCAAACATCTGCTTGAGAAAATATGCAAAGTTTAAAAATCAAGGCAACATGAGAGGCTATTGTTGTAAATACGGTATGACTGAAGCAGCAGGTTTAGTCTGAACGACGTCTCACCTCAAGGTAGTATCTGGGACTTTCTGGCATGAAGGTAAGCGCCACCACAGCACACACACACGGCAGGGCACAAACGACGACAAAAACCCTCCAGCTGTGAAACTGGTACGCTGAACCCATACTGAAGCTCCAGCCTGAAAAATGTTTCAAACAGCAACAATCTGGTCATTAAAGAGGAAGGGGAAGCAAACAAACAAATGATGATGTACTTTGATTCTTAGTCACAATTTATTAGAAATGTTGTGTTTTCAGCTCTGATATTAAAAGCGGTTTAAAAATTGGACTGAGCTTTCAAGCAGTCGCCCCTTCGATTCGTAGTTCTAGTGAGTGGGAAACATCCGGCTAATAAAAACAGCCTGTGAATAAAAGATGGCGTTGAAACGGCAGCTCTCAGTCTGATGTACGAGCTCCGAGATGAATGGCTCTGCAGAGGAAGCAGAGAAAAGTACACACGGACGGGTTAATTGAATGTGTAGGAAAAGAATTGAGTGTTTCCAGCTAACTTAAACCTTGTTGCACCTGATCTCAGCCCACAGGCACTCTTTCAGACTCATTAATCATTGTAGCGTGCACGTATTGTAAAAGCACACGAGCCTGCATGAAAAAAGGAAACGTGTGGCAACGTCAGCAGCTGGAGAGAAAACAGCACAGACATAAATAATAAGGATTACCACATACGGGTTTTTCTATTTGGCATTTTCTCCCACTCTCACCCACAAACACACAATTGCACAAACGTAAAATTATACATCATGCATGTCTCTAACAGAGATCACTTAGTTTAACCAGAGCAAAGAAAATGGCTGCAAATGATTCTTTCTTTGACGCAAAAGTCAAAGACTGACATGAAATGTAAGAAAAATATGGAAGAAACACTTTTAATTCAGTCGTGACTTTTATGTTTGTTTTTCTAATTGGGGCCTTTTTTCTGCGAAAACTAAAAAGAAACCTAAGATTCAAATAACAAAAGCAAGAAAGTGTACTTCTGTGTGAACTCGAAGTGGCTTCACTTTTGAAAAATTTTGCACAGGATGCACCAAAATGGGCTGTCACGCTCGTCGTGACCTCCCACGTCTCTCCACAGTTCGTGCCTCATGGAGATACTGCTCCAAAGGGAATACAGCACCATTATCCATCAACGTGCGTGGGAGGGGAGCCACAGGGTTGGGAGGGGGTTAATGCTAATGGTTTTGCCGGGAAACGGCTGTTTTGGAATTAATCCTACGGCATATTAAAATCCAGCTTTGATAGCTGCTAAAAACAGTTATTATCAAAGGTCGTGGGGATCTGGTGCAAGTATTATAATACAAAACCAAAAAACACAAAAAATTAGCATGATGGTAAAAACAACAACACTGGGAGTGCTGTATTTATGGTTATTACATTCACTTAGAACTGTTTTTTTAATAATGATCACATGAAATATGAAAGAAAATACAAATCAGCAACTACATACCCTCAGAAGTAAAGTGCCGACTATAACTATACTTTAGTACTTCTACAGTTGTTTCTCACATATCCGTCACAGAAGACTTTCCTGCTGAAAGTGAGCTCTCACTACACAAAATATGAGAAAATAGGATACGAAAAAGAGCCTATCTACAGGAGGCAGGATGCAAAAGCCAAATATAAGATGTGGAAATTTGGCTTTTTTCTTTACAATCCTTTAAGAAAAGCAGAAGATGTTCCTTTTTCTGGCATTAACGCTCCCTGTATTGGAGATACTGTTTACTGAGTGAGTGGAAATCAACTTGCAGCTCACTCTATGAAGGCATTGCGTGAACTCGATGACACTGATAGGCCTTCAATATCTAACCTGCTGATCTTCGGACTATTTTACCAGCAAACTAGATAAAAACCTTTGACAAAAAAAATGCAGAATCAACTCTGTGGACACAACTGTAGAGTTAGAGACTCCTGTCAAAGACTGGACTAAACATCAACTCTGACAACTACAGAGGTGAGAACTGGTTTTACTATATAATCCATCATTTTTTATAGAGCTGTGATGCTAAAGGTTAGTTAAAAAGTAATAAGGAGAAAAATGTGTCAAAGGAGAAGACAGAAACCAACAGCTATGTGGGTTAGCAGCTCTCTAGTAGCCCAAAAGAAAAAAAAAAACAATAGTTCCGGTTTTCACCCTTGAGTCATGTGGAAGTTCAGAGTGACTGCAAGATTTGCACAAGGACTGAAACAGAGTAGCAATGATAAAAAATATAGGGAGTTGTTCAGCAGTGAATTTCTTAAATGTACCATGACTCCCTGTCATGAAGGGTTAGTGTTTTATGCGTAGCACGAGCAATCTCATTAGAGGAATTATGCTCGTAATTGACTGAGCTTATGGACGAGTGAGTCAGCCACCACAGGCTGAGGAAGATGGACGAAGAAACGTAGCAGATGGATGGATGGATGGATAGATGGATGGATGGATGGATGGATGGATGGATGGATGGATGGATGGATGGATGGATGGA